GAAAGTGGAGCCGATAATTATTTATTTTCTTATAAGCGAGATGGCAAATGTTTCACGTTATAAAAAGTGATGCTTAGGCCATGGACAGGCATGGCATTAATATTGTTTTTTATATGTTATGTATTTAGTGTTATTATCTTCAGTATTATTATTTATATATTGTTATTCTGTTTTACGTTTTTTTTTCTGTTGGAAGCTGATTTTTGATACTCTGTAGTTTTACTTTGGTGAAGCCACGCTTCACCACAGTAAAACCACAGAATATCCTTACTAATATTATAAACGTGAAAGTTTGTATGTATGGATGGATGTTTGTTACCCTTTCACGCAAATACTAATGAATGAATTTTAACGAAACCGTACAGTAATATAGCTTAAACATCAGAATAAAACATAGGCCATAATTTATATACATATTTTTATATATACCTGTCTTTCTGTCTGAATGTTACGCCTTCAGACTATTTTACGCAGACGTAGTCACGGGCAACAGCTAGTCTTTGATATTTGCTTACAAAATCCTACAACTCATAAAGTGTGCATCACCCGCGGCATAACTGTCAAGTAAATCTGTCAGAGGGTGCTTTCGGATTTATTGCAAAATCCACGTAACCGTAAAATGTCTAAACGTCATACCGCGACTCCGTTTCAGCGGTGGAAGTGGTTATATATGCTTCGTAAAGATTTTATGTGAACCAACTGTCTTCTAGTACAGCGCAGTACCTACTATTGTACTACTTCTTTATTTCAGATTAGTAGTATGAATCTATATAACTATGAATAACTTCAAAAAAATGTGAGCTATCGCGGTCGCTATTATACTTGACACATGTAAAATATCGAAATTATATTGTACAGGTGATATGCATAGATTCTATGCATATAATTATTCTTAAAATATCTGAATATTTTATTTTTGACTATGCAATGTTTATTTCCTTTCATAAACTAGGGTATAATTTTTCGTCTGCTAATTCATTAATTAATAAAACAGTTAAATTTGAAATATAAATCACAAATAGATGATAATTGTTACCTATAATGCGTTTGCAAACGCTAACTTCTTGCAATATAAAGGTGTCCTTCTATTAATCTCTTTCAAATACCTAAATCTACAAGCGACTCGGAAAATGTGTCCCCACATGGACCCTTTACGAAATATATTACTGAATAACTCCCTGACCTAATTCAGCTTATTGGGTAGGATTTCCAGAATAAATTCCATATTGTGTCAATCGTATCCAATTGGTCGCAATGATATCCGACCCTGTGTTATAAATTATTTATTGTGTAAATAAATCAAGCTCTCTTTCCACCCTAACGAGGTAGTCAGAGTTAAGTATATTTTTGTAAAATGGAAAAATGAATTATAGAAAAGACTAAATATTAAATGGGAACTTTCGTAAACATCGATGAAGGCTTACCAACAACCTCTCAGTGCTACATATCTATACTAATAAATGGGACCCTTTTTTTTTGTTCGGTTATAATGCGAAAACTACTGAACCGATCGGAATAATACGTGTACATTCTTTTTTCCTTTTTTAATAAAAACATTGCCCTTACAAGTTGCAAGGACGTTGTTTTAAGGACGTTAAACATAAATAATTTTCACGTAGACAAACACCCAGATCCTAAATTATCTGTGCGTCACATAAGTTCCGCGTAAGAAACGACCCCACGCCCCGGCGCCGAAGCCAGTACCTCGGCAACTGCGCCACGGAGTGCAATGAGTTACACATTGTAATGAATTATTCCCGTCAGTATTTTTAATTAGTCCTCTGTTAATTTCGTTCCAAAACGAAGTATACTAAGAATAGTCGATACAAGAGCACTGATAAGATACACCTTAATTAATTACCTCTATGATCACCTAATTAGATGTTTTTAAATTTAACTGTGGTAAAGCCACGCAGCAGCCTCAGCTGTTGCACAAATGGGCAGGCTCGTCCGGGTAAGTACCACAACCTCACAGAAGACCGGCGTAAAGTGGAAGTATAATACTTTCGCGCTTCGTCTGGTGAGTGGGGTAGCCGGAGCCCAATTTTCAAAAGGTTGTCAACGCATCTGCAACCCTCGGGTGTGGCAGATGTTCATGGGCGGAGGTATTCACTTAAAATCAGGTGAGCCGCTTGCTCGCTTGGCAACTAATCACATTAAAAAAATTATTTAATTTTACTTAATTAGGAAAACTTATTACACATATTATATACTATTAAGTACTTGGTTTAAAAGAATATTACAAGATATATAAGTCAAGTGTAAAAGCCAATAAAGCAAAATAAATTACTTATCTACTGTTCTTAAGATTAAGTTTGTAGCCTTTTGATAGCCTATAACAGTCGGCCCTTGCTTAAAGGGTGTCATTTCCTAATATTAAAATTCATATCCTGTCCGCCATTCAAACTTCGCCCGTACATTTCTCAGGATACGGTCCGGTGGTACAGTCGCGTGAATAACAGTGATTTGCATAATTCACGCAACAGCCATTATGAATAGTAATGGCGGTACAATGCAGCCATCTAAATACGGGTAGAAAGTTTCTATGAACAATGCCGCATTTAAACCTTTATCCTTATATTCTCAATTAAACCAAATAAGATTTTGTTCACGAAAGTGCTCTTCATTTTTATGAACTTTAAAAACAATTTATTAAAAAGATAAGTTAATATTGTATTTTAAAAGAAAAAAAGATGGATTACAGGGATATTATTAATCGCTACAATGAGCGTCATTTTCTCTCTACCTATCTTGGTCGGTGCATGTCATCTAATCGATTTTAGGGTTTTACCCTTTGAGTACAGGATGTACTCAAAGGGTACAATTTGAGTACAAACGATATTCGAAATTGTTTGTATGCTGGAAAGGATATAACAATAGATGGCGCCAAGCATTGCTTCAAATGCTAAGAAAACAATGTGGAAGAATGCGTTAAGATTTTCGTCGGTGTGGCAATCACCCGTTTAGCTCAGTGGCTAGAGCGTCAGGCCGCGAATGCCGAAGACGTGGGTTCGATTCCCACAGCGGCGACAATCTTTTCGCACTTTTACTACATATTTTAAGGACCCTATTGCTAAGAATCGGCTGTCTGTCTGTCTGTCACTAGGCTGTATCTCATGAACCGTGACAGACAGGTTAGACAGTTGAAACTATCACAGATGATGTATTTCTGTATCCGCTTTAACAACAAATACTAAAAAACGGTATAAAAAAATATTAAATTGGGGCTCCCATAGAACGGACATGATTTTTTGCCCTTTTTATAGATAATGGCCTTTCGTGCGCGGGTCCGACTCTCACTTGTCGGTTTTTTTTTTGTTTTTGAGTGTGCAAGTTTAAGTGATCACTACCATTTATAGATAAATATAGATCTGCAACACCTGATGGGTTGGCAGATTCGTGGTCAACCTTTAAAGGGCCTTGGTTACCTCACTCGCCAGAAGAAAAGTGAAATTAGAATAATTCTACTTTACGTCAGTCTTCTGTCATGTCGTGGTACTTCCTTCGTTCTTCTATATCGTGTAACAGCAAACTCTGCTACGTGGCGCTACGGTCCCTAAATTTGATTCCCCTTCCTCTGATAGTATTTAAGCATCTTCTCGTCACGCATTAAAACAAGTAGGATTTTAAAATGTTTTATTGTATTTAAGCGAAAACAATACATGAACACACATATTAAACGAAGCCACTTTATGTCTTTTATCGCCCGTCACTTGACCATAAACGCGCAATGTATCGATACGATAGAACTCGTAAAGCGAGACACAATTTTCACGTTATAAAACAAATTTTATAACGTGAAAATTGTGTCTCTCACACATTTCCACTCTTTTGGATTTGTTCACAATTCGCCTGTTTCTCTGGATTGATATAACAAATTTCGTTTCCTTATCCCGTTGTAGCAGACAACGCCTTTTAGTGAACTGAAGAAAAATCTCATCGCAAGTGAAATTGTATCCTGCCAGTCAAATATAATCGATAACGCGGGAATCGAATAATAAGTGATTTGTAGCACCGAAACGGACAAACTCAACGCTGTTATTCGGACAACAGTTAATGGAAACAGTAAGATTAGAAATTGAGCTAAGAGAGAGGTTGCTAGATTTAACATGTTCTAACATCAAGCGAATTATTTTCCCCCTCTAACGTTATCTACTAACTAAGTTTGGTATTAGACGGGCATAGTTCTTCCGCTAGTACAATTGATAAGTGATGTAAATATGTCTAGATGTTTTTCTTACCGAGCTTACTTTATCAACTCTATATGTTTTCTCTTTCGCTCTCTTTTTAGGTTTCTTCGTTTTACCATTATGAACTGAACCAATGATTTGCATGCCGGTTTTTATCATGTCGTGTTGTCGTTGAGGAAATACCTGAAATATATGAATATACAGTGTTTGTAAAATATTTTTCATTAGGAGTTTGAAATGGTTTCACGCTTACAATCGGGAAACGGTTTTATGTGATCAAATAAGCTGATCGAATAAGCTTTTGGATTACTGCTTCAAATAAAATTAATACTCACGTCCTATTTGTTTTGTTGGTTTGGTTTAATTTAAAGTTGTTTTTGCTAATCCTCGCCTTTCCTTATCTCCTGGTGAATGATCTAAATAGATAGACCTTCTATAAAAACGAAAACTACCATCCAGAAGCCGCACCCGTAGATATTCAAGCAGAGTTTCAGTTTTTAAATACGTCCAGCACAGATAACAGATACTGTATCTTCTGATCATGATTGGTTTGATTATCGGCAAACTTTGATGATAAAATATACCAATGATGAACCAAGATTATGTTACCGTAAATCTTTAGCAAAGTTTGATTTTCATTTTAACGACCGCCTCAACTCAGACGAACCTTAAACTTACAATTATATAAGCGCATACTAACAAAAATATCTTAAGCATCTTTTTCACAGCTGGTCAGTGTTTCGGTTTCATCTTTGTTTCCTTGTTACGGCCGAAAAGCGAACAGACGATTTAAAGTTGTACGTTTTCCAGATTATTCGAGGAGAATCAAGATCTGCTACACATGTTCGAGAAGTTCCGCCAGTACAGGACCAAAGAGGAGCAGATCAACTCCACAGAGCTCGCCGAACACGCTAACAACGTGATGAACACCCTGGACGAAGGGATCAAGGGATTGGATGACCTGGACAACTTCTTCGCCTACATCCACCAAGTGGGCGCTAGCCACAGACGGATACCCGGCTTCAAGGTGGAATACTTTTGGGTGAGTCCAGTTTTCACAATTTATAAGAGAATCAGTTTTGGACAACACTATTACTAAAAGAATTAGCTGGGAAATGAAAAAGAGAACTTTCATCGTCGTCCATTTGGTCTTTTCGCAAATTTGGCTAAATAATACAACCTTTTAAATATTGTAGGGCAGTTTTTTACACAACATTGTCTAGATGCAAACTAAGCAACACTTGTACTAAGTAAGTAAGCAACACTATACAGGGAGATTTTTTGAGAAGTGCCTAAATTTACACAGGAGGTTCAGACTCGGTAGTATAATCGTTTATTTAAATAAAAAAAACAAAGTTTTTTTTTTTTTTTCAAAAAAAAATGCCATTCTATTCCCTAAAAAACAGAACATGTTGACAATGCGGTAGTCATTCATAAATACCTAAATTTTACTGTGTACGAACTTGTGTGCGTGTTGGTTATATAGATCGCGAATAAAATTAATGAGTTGCGTATAAATGACGCACTTTTTGAGATAAGTTAAAATGAATGTAATTAAAAACTTACGAGTGATTTTAAATATTTATCATTTTTATATAACATTATTTATGTCTAGAGTTTAATAAAAAATTGGAGGAAAGCCACCCTGTATAATGGTATATATGGATAACATGGTAAATAAATGCATGTTATAAATATATAAACACCTGGACATTGGAAGAACACTATGTTCATCACACAATATTTTTCCAGTATTGGGGATCGAACCCACACCCTCTGGCGCAGGAGACAGATTCACTACCCACTACGCCAATTGGGTTTATGCTGATAGACAAAATCTAAATTTCACTTGAAGCTATGGATACTGACGTTATTTACTTTTCTTGTGCTGCTTCTGTGGTAATAAAGCGTACAAACTTATTATTTTCACAGACGCGTTATAATTATTGTTTCGGGAATTTTCTCCAAATAAATCAAATTACACGTGTTATGTTGAAAAGTTTAATATTAAATCATAACTAAAGTTTTCCGCCGTTATTTACACACTTAGAAAACATCGTGGAACACGTCGCTGGTAAACTAATTACCTGGCTTTGTTCTAAGGCTAGCCCTAATGAAAAACACACATAAACTTTGCGCAAAAACAAACAGACCACCTTATTAAATTTAACAACTCTTACACACTTAAACACCAACCACATGATCATTAAGGGTTACAAAAAAAACCAAGCGTTGCTAAAAAATACAATAGAAAGAACGTAGATAGACATGGAGATTTTCGCACTGTAAGGTCATCGGCCGCTTAACTTAGTTGGTAAAGCCATTTGGCGCGAAACTAGAAGACGCGAGCGACCTACCCAAGATCGCAGGGACGCGTTGGATGCAGGCAGCTAACGACCGGTCGAATTGGAAGTCAATGGGGGAGGCCTATGTTCAGCAGTGGACGTCCTACGGCTGATATGATGATAGAAGACGCGGGATCTTAACCCGCAAGTTTTTGTTAATTTATATACAAAAGTTTATAATAATTACTATGCTTGATCAAAACATCAACAATGGTGGTGCGAATTTGTGATTTTACCAATTGGCTTTGAGCTTCCGTGTATTATGTTTTGGTCTAGGTTCCTCTAACGATGTCGGGCACATATATATATTCTTTTTCTATGCAATGGAGGATGAGGTTCAGATGTTTAACCGAGCTAACTTAGTTTTAAGTTAAGTAAAATGCATGTAGCTCTTAAAGTGGGATGTCCAGCCATTAGCCCTTTCTAAATTAAAAGTTAATCGATTTAAGTGTAAAACTTGTTTAATATTTAGTCATATATAGCGTGTTCGATTAGATAGATATTTAGGACTTGATATTTTGACATAAAATAAAGTAGTACCACTATAGTATATAATGACATCATATACTACAGTGTAATATGTCAAACGTTACGTTTATTTCTCTTATATTTTGATGTATATAATGAAAATATTATGTATTAAATCTTAAAGGCTTATTTTTGTCATTTCACCAAATCTACTGAATAGTTTACATAAGTCAAAAATGAAGATATTTTTTCGAATTTAACAACAAAAAATAACGTAGGTATATTGAAACAGACAATTCTAAAGAATGGTATGTTATGTAATAAAACATTTTATAAAAATCATACTTGATCAAGCATTATGTGAGTATTCAAAAAGAAAGCAAAAAGTCTTAAAAGGCGATGAAGTTTCATACACAGTGAATATTGGAAACTTGTGAAGCGACGAAAAACTTCAGGGAAAATTAATGTTGGAAAAATAGATACTTAGTTTCTTGAGACACGTGACGCTGAGTGAAAATGGATTCGGAGAATAAATCAAATCGAACTTATTCTATACAGCGGGTCCATAAACTAGACGCGCCATCTTAAGTCAGAGCACGGACTCTCCCTTGTGGGACTCTCGTATATTATTTGGGCGAAACTTTCACTCCAAATGTGTCCGATACACGCCGCGACATATACCCGATCACCTACGTCAAAACTGACATTATATTGATTTGTAAAAATTATATTGATGCATTACATCACTATAATTTTTACAAATCAATATCAATATAATTTTTATTGTGAAAAATTGCTAAGCGAGCAGTCGATTCACCTAATGTTAACTGTGGCGTTGCAGATATGTTGCCCAACTTTAAAAGAGTAGGTAACGGCTGTCTTACTCACAAGACTTCTTCACGCCGGTCTTCTATTATCAGAGAACAGAACGAAACAATTATATATCGAAAATTAAATGTGAAATAAAGTAATGCAAGACATAAGACACAAAAGTAAAGTGTCAACCTATATCATACGTCCCACTGCTGGGCAATCGCGTCCTCTCTACAGAGGGTATTAGAGAATAGGCCGCCACGGTCTTTTATTGGTGGACTTCGCATATATACGAATTTTTTTTGTTATTACTGTGAAAATATGCAGATTTCCTCACGATGCTTTCCTTTACCGCTGAGCACATGATAAGTGAGTACTTAAAATTAACAATTTCATTGATGCCGGCACCGGGGATCGAATTCAGGTGACTCGAGCATATTAAATTAGCGCCCGGACACTGCAAAATCACGGCTCCATGCAGAAATCCCTGTCCTAATTATGTACCTGGTATATAGCAACGAGGACCATTGTCCGATTTCGGACTAAAAGAAGCACACTGAAACGTGAATATCTTTGCTATCTCTACTCTGTTTTTCACTTACGACAGCGTCAACCTCTAAAATCCAAGAAATCGAAAGCTACAAACGCCACTGAGGTTAGAATCCGAGAGCTCAGGCCGACAGTACGCCCTAACCGCAGAGAGCAGAAAACGAATAAATAATCGGTACAGTTGCCAAACGAAACGCCACCTCCCGCGCTATGGTGTTTACGTGAGTTGACTGGCAACGATGCCAAAGACGACAATAATGGATAGTGATCGACCTATTTCGGCAGACGATATCGACGTACGTGTCATGCATAGGTAAAAAAATCGGGCACCAAATATACAACCGACAGAAAGAAAGAAACGAAAAAAGAATGAATAAGAGACGCCCGATTATTATTTGTTCATGTTAGGAGGTGGCAAGCCAGCTGGCGGTTCACCTGATGTTAAGTGATAACCACCGCTCATGGGTATTTGCAACACCCGTAGGGTTGCAGGTGGTTTGCCACCTTATAAAAAAGTGGGCCACGGCAACCTCCTTCACCAGACGAAACGCTATACATTAGTTATTTGAGTAAGTCAGACTACAGCTACTAGTAAGCCGAGGTTCGGTCCTCTCGGGCACCCTCGAATGTGAATGCTAAATGGGCATGGACTAACAGCCCAAGCTGAGGTTACAAGGTTTGTCCCGGGGGCTCTTGAGTCTGGTTACTCCATGGAGCGTCCGCCAAAGTGCCCTAAGAGCTTGGCGGCCTCCCAAACTGGTGATAATAAGAGCACCGTGATGGCCTGAGCCGAGGCTCCCTCAGGAGCCCTCGAACTTAGTCACACCCTCAGCGTCCGGCCACCTAAAGCGCGGTGGATCTGTAAAGGACTCCAACAGTGGTTGATCCAGTTGAGCTCCTCAAGGCCAGTGGTTCAGCCAGCCAAAAAAATAAGGTACCCGGGTCGCTTTAAATTATTATATTTTTATTTCTTGACTTGCTCTGAGCACTGAGGATAAGATAATGTCAGTTCTCACACTTAGGGCGATTAGGACTAAAAAAGCGGAAACTCTGAGAGCTTACTACTGGATATGTCCTTGTCCAGCGGAAAACAGGTTAAAGAAGCGCTAATAAGTAGCTCTCTGACTAAAACTTAAGAGATAAGTTTAAATCGTTACGTTAAATTAATAAGAAGTACCTAATTTCAAAAAAAAAAACAAAAAACCCAGCATGCAAACATTTTTAAAAGGCCAATTTTCCAAATGTTGTTATAACATTCTCAGGATATGGCCTTTGGGTAGCGACATATTGGATTGCTGTCTTCAGTAACACATGCAAAATTTAGAAATTTCGATTTACGTAAAAATCGTCAAAGTTGGTCCACGTGTTCTTCTCTAGAGCGCTAAAAAAAAACATGCACACATAGGCTGACAAACACTTTACTCTCTTTTGCGCCGCGCAGTATGAAACGCGCAGGATGAAAAACAGGACAATCTTTCCGCCAACAAACTTCATAAAACACACAGAAAATTAATTATTGAAAAACATTGAGCTAATAATATAATATGTTAATAATAAGAAGTAAACTACGTCATTTTCTTCCAAATATAAAAAAATCGAATGAAGAAAATCGTTAAACTGCTGAAGCAAAATCTATTGCTAGCAGAAAATAGAACACACGAGATATTAATTATTGGTAAACATTGAGATGGTGACATAGTTGGAAGATAAATCGATAACGAGGAAGAAACTACGTCGTTTCTTCCAAATAAAAAAAAAATAATAAAATCGTAAAACTGCTAAAGTGAGATCCTTTGCTTGCAGAAAATCGAGGCACCGTTCCTGGCGGCGGTGGAATCGACGCTGGGCGATCGCTACACACCGAACGTTGAGAACATATACAAGATAACGATCAAATTCATCTTGGAGACCCTCATAGAGGGATACGAGAAGGCCGGCGCCCCGAGCAACGCCACGTGAGCGGCGCGAAGTACCTTCAACCGAAGCTGACCTCCCCAATTCTGAATACTATTGAACATGTCAATTCCCTTGAAAACCGAGCTCGGCACCTAAGCGTCTTCAATTAGTCTCTATATGTATCTAATGTGAATAATCTGTGTATAGTTGATCTGTAGAATATCATTTGAATTCTAAACTAATATGTCTATTGATTGCAAGAGACGCTTGTAAGTATTAACGAAACAGTATTGATCACTTAATTCCTTGGAGCGAGTGTAAACGTATTATGTGTGTGAATATTAAGAAATTATAGCGTTTGTTGTTTTTATGTAATAACTCATGTTAAATGTGTACAATCATTGCATAATACTTTCCTCGCAGTAATAAATGTCTTTTTGATTGAAAAGTGATGTGAGAACCACCGTTAGGTAGGAAAATTAAGAAATTACCTTATCACTCCTTTAGGTTAAAGCTAATCGATGTTCATTTCCATAGGTGTCTTGTTGTCCAATTGTAGTCTCCTTATCGACATTTAGTGCAAACGTTCTTATTTAGGCGTTAAATCGAAAATGTCTGTGGTGTCGATTTTGGATAGCCTAATAAAATATTAGCAAGTTTGTAAGAAATGGTTAACTCCATGATGCGACGATTACATTGTTTTATAGTCTGCTATCATGATTATGCTTTACATAATTACAAATATAAACTAAATAAGAGCAAATATGTATCCTTTAACTTTACAAAGGTCTTGGCATTAGGACAGTCATATTGCCAGGCATAAAAAAATTAAAATAATAATTTCTATTGTTATCATAGCAGACGTAAATTTAAAAAATGTTCCTGTATTGGAATACGTGAAATATATGCACCTATGTTTTTATGTTAATTGTCAGTTCATCATATATTTGTTTTAAGAAACATTTAAATAAGTATTTCTAAACAAGTTGACGGTGTAATAAATCCAATTCTGCAATACACCATTCATCTAGTAACGCTATAAGTGGATTGTCGTTTGGAATATTTTCTTACCAAATACAGCAAGCGCTGTTATTGCAATAATTTGCGGTCTCTACAGAAAGTGGGGTTATTTTAACAGTTTGGGGGTCTCTCTAAAAAAAATAGACATATATAATAAGACTGCACCGAATGTTTTCTCAGTCTTTGGTCCACATAATAGCAAACATATTTTATGTAACGCGAATGAAATAACCGCTATTATTACATTTGCCAATCTTCGAACGCCATCCCATGTTGACTGAGGCCGAGGAAAAGTGCTCCATGCGCGATTTCAGCGCCGTCAGTGTTTGCGCGAAGAGATTACATGTATGCGCACGGAGCTAAGGAAATTGATATTTGTAGTGAGAAGTGATAGATTAGTTGGCCGTTCCCTGTCAGAATACGCCTATTCAAATTCCAGTAGAGAGTACTGTATCTCTGTTCTACATAAAAGCAAATGCGTCTGCTGACTAAAACTTTCCATCGTACGTTTGAGACTTAATAAACTCGATGCTAATAACATTATTTCTGCCTGCCCGATATGGATGAGGACGCTAATGGTACGGTTGCGAAGCAGCTATTATTGTTGTATGTATAGGCAGGTTCCTCCGGGGTATTACCACGGCCTCACAGAAGACCGGCGAGATTGAAGTAGATTATACTTTCGCGTTGTGTCTAGTGAGTGAGGTAACCAGGGTACACTGTTTGACAACACTCTGCAACTCTTCTGGTGTTGTAAATTTCCGTGGGCGGCGGGATTCACTTGATACCAAAATATCATATATACCATATCTGCTCGCTTGCAAATTATTCACACAAAAAAAACGTATTACTATGATATCCCACTAATTCTGACCCTTTAAAGTAACATAAAGTGAATGGATAAAGTTGAACCATTTGCCCCAAAAGCCCGAGCGAAAATCGCGGGCAAGTGTAAACATGGATTTTCCGCACGAGAAACCAGTTTTCCGACGCCAAACAAAAACTGTTGGTCTGGTAACAGTTTTTGTTTGCACACGTCCGAACCCATTTCAGTCAAAGCTGTGTTTCGGATTTTAGTATGTTTTTGACGGTGGCAATTTAATCAGCTGAAACTTTTGACTTATTTTAGTCATATATTGTTACTATAGTCACTAGATATTAGTTAAAGCGGTGTGCATATTTTAACAGTTGTTTGCTTACCTCTTTATAAGTACATCCCTCAATGTACATACAACAATTATATAATATAACTTACTAAATATTAAATAAACCTATCATAAATATCTGTAATGAACTTGAAACTGTATTTTCAGAAGTATATTTTAATCGTGTATATGTATTTAATAACAATAAAGCCGTTACCATTGTTTTTATCGATTATTATGAACTCACTTACTTATGAACTCTTGACGTTACATTTGTTAAGTTTATAAGGTTGAAGAATAAGATATTTTAATTTGGAACGTAGACTCGTATTATTTTTTTCTCAGTGTTAAAGCTACGCCGTTGAATTTGTACTGGTTATTGCATAAATCTGTGTGTTCTTAGCTGCGATGTCGAGACAATGATGAAGACTAGTTTTCAAAATTATCTTAAGAAAGTATGTGTACTTAAGATGTGTGTTTGTAATTTATATCGAAAGTTATGATCTGTGTATAAAGGTGTTACTTTCAGTTTAATAATGATATATAATTAAAAAAACTATTTATAACTGTCCGATTCGTTTGTCATTTTTATCCGCGACTTCCATATTCTTTGAGTTATATGACAGCAGGGCGGTTATTATTAGGATGGCAAAGTAAAAAGAAGAAATAAATGCTTAGATAATATTTAATAACCGCTTCATTTCACCACTTTACTAGGCGACTAACCACCGAACATGATTTTTGGTGACAAAATGATGTGGCGTGTCCGTGGCGCAGTTGCCAAGGTATTCGCAGTTGGCTTCGGCGACAGGGGTCGTGGGTTCGATTCCCCCACGAGACAACTTTTTGTGTAACCCACATATAATTGTTCAGGATCTAGGTGTTTGTATCAGTGAAATTTATGTATGTGAAACGTCCTTAGAACGCAAAATAATGTTTTGCGTTGTAAGGTCTGTGTGTCGGTCTGCCACCAGCCTGTATCTCATGAACCGTGGTAGTTAGACAGTTGAAATTTTCACAAATGATATATTTCTGTTGCCACCGTAAAAAAATAAAAAATAGAATAAAAAAATATTAAAATATATCTCCCATGACACAGCTGACATAATTTTTTTTTTCGTTATTATAGAAAATGATATGAGCCTTAATGCGCGAGTACGACTCGCACTTGGCCGGATATATTTATGATTTTTGCGTAGTATTTATAACACAGTAAAATATCTAATATCGGTAAACAGTAGACGCGACTATGATGTTAATACCAAGACCAATTACCAAATAATCCCACCGCATCACCCCTATTACCAAGGGAATATGGGCTGTATTCAAACGTGTTTGAAAATCCGATGTTTTGTATGACGTAGGCGAGCCATAATTTCAAAAAAGGGCAACACTATTACCACACAATCGAAGCGCGTCACAGGTTCTTATGGAGTTGCAGTGTATAGATTAGTGTTGTTCCTTAGCCTAAATAATGTTAGAATAATAATGAAATGATAAATTTCAATTTTTGTTTTAAAAAAATCTGTTATTAACTACATATAAATTTAAAAAAGGATGAAATGACAAATTAAGGCCGCAGACTTTCTTCTGGTTTCTTTAATGCTAGTTTGAGATTTTCATTTAAATTAACTTTTAAAGCTTACATAAGTCTGTCTGCCTATATTAAAATTTTAACTAATTATACATTTTATTTTTACTCCCTCAACTGAGTTGTAACAAATTAAGATGTTTGTCAAGAAGCTTAAACTGTAGAGCATGGTGATGAATTAGGACACACAAAAACATTACTCCCCTTCAAAAATCAAAAAAAAAAATGTGCGTTATTATAATTCATATATTATACTTTATTTTGGTATTATGTGCTAGACTGTGTGTAGTGACTGGCATATCCCTTTCTATTTATATTCCGTACCCTATCATATTTCGGGCATTTATCGATTTTTAACGAAAACACAATTTGTTGTTTGTATTTTAGACATTAGTGCATTCTTCGCAACATTTCTAAGTATTATAAAATTTATTATTTTGTTTCTAGATACATTATTTTGTTTTCATATTACTTCCAATATTACTAAATAACATTCCGACGCTACGCTGATTTGTAAACCATAATGCAAACAACAAAAAATACGCCTTGAATTTGTTTAGCTGACGCGTTTCCGTAACTTATTTCACATCAAGCTATTAAACGGTCAATCACGTGTCACACCACTAAAGGGTCGAACGTATCGGACTTTTTTATAACTTGCCAGTTATGAAAAACATTTCGCGCGCTTCACTACTACCAACCTTCAAATTCGAATATCGAATTTAGGGTAAACTGGTCGTTATTACCAAATAATGAGTTTAAGTTGCTCTCTTGGAAAACAATTAATGTGTTTGTGGAGTTGTTGCTGTACTCGCGTCTAACAAATACCGAAATATGTGAAAAATTAAAACAATATCTGCGTAAAGTACACAAAAAAAATTATAAAATGTTATAGGAGACTGCATGAGTTACGTAAACTATTATTAAATAATAAAACGGTGTTTCATTTATAATAATCGATATACCAATTAAACAACGAATAAATTCCAAATTTAAAATCATAATTTACGTGACAGTTTAAATTTCGAAACATCGATCTACGTTAAAATTGAGTGTCAGTGACTGGACCGATTACAGTGGGGCGAGTGAACAAAAATTCGGACCAGTTTTGATTGAAACGAGTGCCACAAGTGACAGAAATGGGTTGTAAACTGTCCCAGCTGGCGGCTTCAGAGTTCACCCAGGACCCACTGGACCGTCCACCACCGCCGGCCGACCCCAGGTCACCACTGACCGCCAAACAGCAGTACTGCATGCTCGCTTCGTGGAAAGGAATCTTCCGGCAGATCGAAAAAACAGGCGTCATTCTATTTGTCAAGTAATATGCTTTCTTCTAAACCTTTACGACATGATGATGTTAGTGTCCACAGCGATGAAGTGTTGTTAAAGCTTTTACAACTTGTCTGGTGTTGTGAAATATATAGTCCTTCGTCTGATACTTAAAAAACACTTAACTCTAAAGATTCTTACGTCTTGCGTTGGCGAAAGTTATGCCTTTCTTAATGCAAAATTTAGTCAAATATAATTCGCTAAACATCAGGTATACCGCCTGCATGGCATACCTGATGTTTAGCGAATCCGCCCAAGGAAATCTAGAGCACCTAGCACCTATAAGGGCAGGCTTTGACACCCTTTTTAAATAGAAGTATAATAGAAGTATAATACTTCCATTTCACCCTAGTCTTCTATGAGGCTGAGAAGGAGAAGGTTGGTTTGCATGAATTGGACGGACCACAAGCAAATAGAGTCCTTAAGAGACCTTAAAAAATAACGTCCATAGCATAGCCACGTATGAAGGCCGTGAACTCATCGACGGCCTGTTTGGCGTGATAAGTGATCCTCTATATTTTAATCTGTGGCCGGTAATTCTCAACTGCCCCTTGACGCGAATGTATACTATGATTTCTTATTTTTTAGACTGATATTACCTAATCGCTATATGTTATCATTAAAAACATAATTTTAATGATAAATACACATAGGTATTTCCTAAATCATTAATACCAAAAGCTGTTAGCTTAATGCATGGAGTTGTTAATATTGATAAAAGGTACATGCAAAACGAATTCCTAATGAATTGTTAATAGTCGAAGCGTCTGGGAATATTTACTAAACAAATACATACATCAAATATTTTCATTTCTGAACAAAGATACGTTAAAAAACACTCACTTATTCCCCATCAAATTAAGTAAGTACATTACACGACGCTGCCTTCGTATTCAAATATCTTTATTCAACATAGAAGTATTACACTCACTTATTAACTGTCATAATACTACTACCGGCTCTGAAAAGAGAAGCCACTGACCTGAGCCGAACCGGCGAAAGAAACTCAGCGGGTTTTTTTACCATTATTTGACAGTGAAACGTGAACTTACTAATATTATAAAGGCGAAAGTTTGTATGTATTGATGGATGTTTGTTACTCTTTCACGCAAATACTACTGAATGGATTCTAATGAATCTTTACAATAATATAGTTTATACATCATAATAAGACATACGCTATAATTTATATACATATTTATATGTATATACATCTTTCTGTATGAATGTTACGCCTATTCTACGCAGACGTAGTCGCGGGCAGCAGCTAATACTAACTACATATACAGTAAGCCTTTATACACGAACGTTCCATTCTTTTTATTCAGCAACAAATACATTTTGAACGTTTTCCGATAAAAGGATTTACTTATTTAATAGCTCGGCAATGGTTGATTAAGTCCTGAGACCTCCATTACAAATGAATAAGAACATTTCGAAGGTATAAGATGTCCCATCGGTAAAATTGCGGTAGGCATACTTGCGGTGGTTCGGCCACGCAGCAGCCTCGGCTGTTGCACGAATGGGCAGGCCCGTCCGGGTAAGTACCACGACCTCACAGAAGACCAGCGTAAAGTTGAAGTATGACAAATACTTTCGCGTTTCGTCTGGTGAGTGAGGTAGCCGGAGCCCAATTTTCAAAAGGTTATCAACGCATCTGTAACCCTCGGGTGTAGCAGATGTTCATGGGCGTCGCTATTTACTTAGCATCAGGTGAACCGTCTGCTCGTTTGGCAACTTTTCATATAAAAAAAAAACTATTGCTGCCTGGAGGAATGTACATCATCATACTTCTGCCCTTATCCCACATAGGTTTTGTCTATATTTATTTACGACCGGCTGACGTCAGCCCTCCCTGGGAAACAAACACCCAGATCCACATGGGACAAGTATTTGTGGGTCACACAAATACTTGTCCCATGTGGGAATTGAACCCACGACCCCCGACACCGAAATAAATAGCTTAGCTACTGCGCCACGGAGTCAATGTGCCTTTAGTACCAAATTTTGATACGTGTTTCGAATGACTCTTAAGTTGCTTTATCCTAAGGGTAATGAATAAATATGTTCAAAATGTTTATGTAAGTTTACCAAATCGTTAGAAAAATAAAAGAACCCTCAATGACGAAATAATAAACGAAGAACGATCAATTTTTAATGTCCCTTGTATTGCCTACTAGCTGCTGCCCGCGACTACGTCTGCGTATAATAGGTTGAAGGCGTAACGTTCAGAAAGAAAACCTGATATACATGAAATATGGATATAAATTATAGCCTATGTCTTATTCTGATGTATAAGCTAAGTATATTATTGTAAAGTTTCATTAAAATCATCATTCAGTAGTATTTGCGTGGAAGACTAACAAACATCCATCCATACATACAAACTTTCCCCTTTATAATATTAAATAAGGACTAAATGTCTTCGACTATTGTTCCATGGAATGATGCCATGTCAAAACTGATGCGAAAGATCTTATCACTTCGTTAGATACTCGTACAAAATATAGATCAAGGTAACAAAAGGCAGTAGAAATCTAAAGATGCCAAGGTAATGTAACAAATAAGTAACCTATTATGCATTTGATCGAAATAAGTACGTTCAATAAAATGCGTACGTGTACGTCATACGTGCACTGGAATCAAAAACAGAAAGTCAATTACTCTACTAACTACGTTCTCGATAACTACGAAATGCTGTAAGATTTTAATCGATTCTTTACTCGTCTATTATTTGAAAGGACAGTGCTGTAATTCATTTAAATACATAACTGCTTACACTAACTTGTACTTGACGAGAGTAATTTAAAATTCAAAGACGTCACGACGTCACAGTTCAGTAGTTCAACATTCTAAAAATAATATAAAGTTGTCTATATATATATATATATATATATAAGAGATTTCTACCGATAATTGACTCATCACGATTCCTCTGGAACCATAAGGCGTAGAGACTTGAAATTTGGTAGGAACATTCCTTTCGCCGAGTAGAGGACAGCTAAGAACGGATTTTACGAAATGTTACCTGTTGGGTCCGCTAGTAACTTATAAAAGTGAAAGCGATATAAGATTGCACAACATTTTGACACCATACAACATTTAGAAGAATAGGTAATTGACCATATAAAATTGCACATAAATTATAAGTGAAGTAAGACATGGGTACGTAAGTATATTTGTAAAGAAAATATTATGAAATGACATAATTATGTATAATGAACATGTCAGCCATTTATTATCTAATATAAAACAAATAATATATCCTATGTTAATATACATTTATGGAGATTATACACAGACGCTTAAATCGATCAAATAAATCAACGATTTAACATTAAGAAAAAAATTCTTTGTAACTCTCAGCAATAAAGGAACTGCGGCCAGAACGAGATACTATAAAATTCTACATGCACGCGCAAATAATTATTGCATTTTCGCGATTCTTGCGTGTGTAAGTAATGCCCGCTACGTAAATTTGATTCGACTATGACAAAGTCAGTCAGTCTGGCCTTTTCCGTAAAAAGGCGTTTGAGATTTTCTGTGACTTGCATCCAAATTGATTGACGTAGATCCCGTTTAGGCCAGAATCGATACGTGTGAAAGTGCAAAATTTCAAAATGCACCCCAAATTCCAAACCGAGTGTAGGTCAATGTGCTCGTAGCTCTAAATCCTCCCACTCATTACCCGCGGTACACAGGGCAAAGTGACTGTGACGTCACTGCATTGCCGCAAAGCCCATTGTCTCGTCTGATAAGTACAGGCGGAAACAGAGAGCTTTTGTTCCACGCAGTGATGACAATAAGGCGGAAAATCCTGTGTATTCACACTTAGTTACAACGTGCATAATTAATATGCGTAGTGCCAAAGACTCTTGGCTACATTCGATAATTCTAAACGCAGTAGTGCCAAAGTTTGTCATGATTCCATCCCTACACTATCGAGCCGTGATTGCTCATTGTCCGGACGCTCGCTTTTGATACACTCGCGCAAACTGTTCGATCCCGGTGCCGGCACCAATGAAATTCTTAATTTTAAGTGCTGACATATAAACATCGTATGGAACCTGCGCATTAATAACAAAAACAAATATATTTCGATCACAGGGTCCTCTTAACAGAGGAGGACTTTGCACAGCCCAGCATGGGACATAATATACAGACTGTTACATTACTAATTCATCTACAGTTACAGAAAAAGAGGAACATGTACAAGAGATATACATTATAAATACTGAAAAATATTAATGGAAAGCCAGACAGATGGCTATAAATTGGGCCATTTCCATCGTTGTAAATTGGTTTTTAAGCCGCATGAGTCATAATTATATTCTTTTTAGATTATAATCTCTGTCTACACACAAATACTTTACTTATTTGCATTTACTTCCCTCTCGTAATTTTTAAAAATAAATTAGAAAAAAATAAGAAAGAACCAGAAAGGAAAATATAAGTAAGGACAATATTTTTATGTCAAGAAATTAAATTAAATTGTCAAGAGAGTAGGCGGTTCACCGGTTGGTAAGTGAAGACCGTCACCTATGGACATCTACAACACCTGAGGGTTTGCAGATGCATTGACAACTTTATAAAAGTGAGCGCATCTAGCCTCAAGCACCAGACGAAACGCGAAAGCTTAATACTTCTACTTCACGCTGCTCTTCTGTGAGGCCCTACTTCCCGAGCGAGCCTGCCCATTTGTGCAACAGCGGAAGCCGGTAAGTAAGGTAACCGCATATTAAAAGGTGGCAACGCATCTGCAGCCATGCGGAAGGTGCAAATGTCCATGGGCGGTTATGACTTAACATGAGGCAAACCGCCAGCTCGCTTGCCATCTTATGTATTTATTTATTTAAACTTTCTGCACAAACATTTGTGTACAAAGGCGGACTTAATGCCATCAGCATTATCTCCCGGTCAACCTTGTCTTATATATTTTATATATCTTCTTACATAAAATATATATAATTCGTCTGTACGTGTGTATGT